CATTTCACGGTAACGGCGCCACACCCTCTGTGGAACTTGGGAGGTCGCCGGTCACACATCCCATAACCGTTTCCCCTCCAACTCCTTTTTTATTGCGATAGCACCAAATTCAATGTCGTACCTTTCGATTTCTCAGTCACTTGTGAAAGTTAATCAAAAAAAAAAAAAGGGAATTTGCAGCAACTTCACAAGGTTACCGCAATTTCCCAATCCCCGCGGCACAACCAATGGCTGACTGATGATTGCAACACCATCGTATGTCTGAAATCCGGCCTCTACAACAACCTGAGCGTTTTTTTAAATTAATAAAAAGAGGGAGGGAGGGGGGCGGGGGGGAGGAGAGTGGGATGTTGGCCAATTCGGTGTAATATCCGACTCTCTTTTTTTTTTTTTTTTTTTTTTTTTTTTTTCCAGTTTGTTTAAAACTGGGTTGTACACATGGTGCGAACTGCAATTGCAAACTGTATCTTGCCCCATAGCCAGCAAACTGGGTTGTATACATTGCCCGAACTGCAATTGCAAACTGTATCTTGCCCCCATAGCGCAATTATAACTCATTTTTGTGACTCCCGCGCGGTTTTCCCAAAATAGAGGTAACTACGTGCGAGTACAAAAACGGGTTATAATTGCACTATGGGCCAACAAGAAGTGTGACTCTCAAATTTGTTAAGGGGAGGTCAATATTTGAGAACATAGTAACTGCCACCGAAGTGTTAGAGGTAGCGAGTGAAGAAGACATGGAGATGGCAGCAGTCCTCCTGCTAGACCTGGCAAAGGCCTACGACAGGGTGAACTGGGCTTTTTTTTGTAATGACTTCCCTGAAAGAAATGGGTTTTGGGGTGTGCTTCTGCCGTTGGGTCGAAGTGCTATTTACGTACTCCACAGCTGCAGTCATGGTGAATGGGAAGTGATTCTGCGGAATTCCCGCTGTCACGCTCACTTAGGCAGGGTTGCCCGATAGCTCCCTTGCTGTTTGTTCTGCAGATGGAAGTGTTCGTGAACAGCATCAGGACAAACGTGGAAATTAAGGGGCTGAAACTCTCAGAAGAAAAGGAATGCAAAATCAAAGCACTAGCAGATGACCTCATGGCGGTCTGCACTAACAAAGGGAACTCGTTGTCAGCCTTGAAGAACTGTTCGAAGATCTACGCAGAGTTCTCCGAGGCCGCAGTAAACTGGGAAAAGTCGGCCTACCTCCTCCCGGATACGCAACAGCTGCCGGTCAAATGGGGTATGAGAAGAATTGGGAAGTGAGAGGCAGAGAGGTTTCTGGGAGTAACGATTGCCTTGGAGGACTGTTCCTCCTCTCGGGGATTAATACTGCAAGAAAGAGTGAAAAACAGGATCAGGAGCTGGGGAGAGGCGATACATCTCTCACTCATTGGCCGCGCCCTCGCCTTAAATGTCTCAGCTTTTTGACTGTTTTTGTGGTTCGTGGCACGCGTGAGGAAGATCCCAGAGGAATCCTTGAAAGGAAATCAAGAAGATCTCCAGGTTGTTCCTTTGGAAACCATGTGCCAAACCAGGAGAAGGGTGCATCGCCGAGGTGGCCTGGGACACACTGTGTCTCCCGAAGGAAGGAGGGCTAAATTTGACTGACCTGCGAGCACAAAACTACTTGCTCTTATGTGAGCGGATTCTGAAGGTGGTCGAGGCAGACAAAGATTCTGATTGGCGCCTATTATTAGCCGCGAGACCATCCTGACGAACGAACGGGGGCTGAGTCAGAGAAAAGACGTCTGCATAGCAATAATGTCAGATGTGTTCACAGGGACACGGATAAACTCCCAAGTTTTGGAAGGAGATCCTGCAGGCATGGAAAACTTTTGTGAAACCATCAATCCGTCCTGCACAAACTTCGAAGCAGCAGGAATCGGAGCAACACATCTTTGACAACCCCCATATCACAGACAGTGCAGGCAGCTTTGGGTACAGGCACAGGCAACTTTGGGTACAAGTGGATCCAGAGAGGAGTGACACTACAGTTATCCCCCGAATACAATGTACGGTCATTATAGCTGAATTTGGTGTATCTTTTCAGTCTAAATTCAGCTATAATGACCGTACGTTGTATTCGGGGGAAGACTGTAGTCAGAGATCTGTGGAACGAGGAGACCAACCCGTGGCACGCCCCCCCACAGTTTTGAAGGAGAAATCGGGACCGCTGCCTGCACAAGAAGAACGGGTAGGAGCAGATTAAGGAATCCTCCTTGCCCGCTGAATGGAAAGAAGCTCTGCTGGGCCCGGAGGGAGAGGTAAACCCACCCGGAACCTGGTTGAGATCAGAGGAAGGTACAGAGAGGTATTATAGACTCTGGAACTGGCACGACACATTGGAAGGCAATCCACTGTGTATTAGAAGTCTATGAGAAGGAATCCCCGGAGGCGAGCAGCTTGGTTAGTTTTGGAACAGTAGAGAGATACGGGTTAAGCGGTCTGACAGAGTGCAGAGTGAGGGAAGGATGTCCGGAGCGATTGACAGGTAAAGGGGGCGCGACAATTACCGGTAGTAGCAGGGGGTGGTAGAAGATTATAGCACCCTGAGGATCGACCGGAATCCTGGAGTTGGGAGGAGGAAGGGGAAGTAGTTATAGGGGGTGGGGTTAGACGACATTGCGAGCACTGCCTGTAAACAGCCTGCAAGAAGGAGAGTTCTGGTGGAGAAACTGACAGCCAGATGGAAGAAAACCATTTCAAACTCAGATCCACCCAAGGGCACCGGAACTCCAGTGTCTTTGGAAGCAACTTAAGGAGAGATCCCATCACAAAAGTTGGCCTCCTTGTTGTGGATGCAGTCGCATCTTGTGGTCCCCACTGCAATGTGGTTACGGACCAGGGGAATGGTGGATATAGATCCAATGAGCGGGAGATGTGGGTGGCTATACCGAAGATGTGAAACATTTGTGGTGGGACTGTCCTGTGTCACGAAGGAGATGGAAGTGGTGGGTCTTCCACTGGAAGGAGATCACTGGAAGAAATAAATTCGTGGAGGAGAGATGGGTCACCAGAGGGCGAACCAATCAAGGAAGGGTGGGGGTACATTGCACAGGTCTCCAAAGCAACCATGATGTGGGTGGGTATAATGGAAAGAGCGAAACTCAAGAAGATTCAATCGGGAAGTGATGGCAGAAAAGCAGATCATGGAACTCTTCAAAGCCCACCTGGCAAACGAAATCAGAGCAGACTGGCACCGGCGCTGTAAGAAGAAAGGAAGATTTTTTTCTTGAAGAATAAAAGGTCTGGCTTGGTTTCGGAAGACCTGGGCAAACGGTTCACGTTTTGCAAGTATTGTACAAGGAAAATTGGTGTTAGCACCCTGGCTGTTGGGAGGGCACAGTTAGCAGGCAATCACTATAACTATATAGGTGGTGCAGCAGTAGGGGTAGACGAGAAGTAAACTCCTGAGGATAAGCTCGGTTGAGAGGAAGTACACACCTTTCTCAATTGTGTGGAGTGTCTGCCTTGTGGCTGTTTTATTCATAGAACCAGGAGCACTTGGTTCGGTTCCATTGGGCAATCACCGTAGATTGCAAAGGGCAGGGTGGGTAGGAGAGTGCCAAGACAAGAAATGGAACAGACGTTCCTCCCGAACGAGTAGACCGGGCCCGAGCCCGGTTTAGGCCTGTGTAGTCGGCTAGTAGTAGTATTAGCATTTGTTTGCCAGTAGGGCCCGGGCCCTGTTTAGGCCTGTGTAGTCAGCTAGTAGTAGTATTAGCATTTGTTTGCCAATAGATATAGGAAGGGAGGTTGGAACGAATAAAGTAAAATTTTAACAGTGTGACTTAGAGTAACCAGTGGTGAGAGAATTTCTGGCTTAGGAATATGTTGCTTAAGATAAACCGGCTGATGCTGCCGGGAAAACTCCGGGTTGAATTGTGAGGACCCCGGCCTCGATTCTTTTTATCGAATATGAACTACTGCTTTTTCTCAAAAAAGAAAAAAACAAAAGAGAACAAAAAAAAAAAAAAAAAAAAAAAAAAAAAAAAAAAAAAAAAAAAAAAAAAAAAAAAAAAAAAAAAAAAAAAAAAAAACAGAAAAAGAAAGCAAAAGTGGAGGAGACGGGTTGAGGGTAGAATTACGAGAATTTGTTTTTATTATTGTAATTTACAGATGATACATTCAACTTATGCTGTTTGTACAAACATCTCCAGTACGATGCCTATGTCAGCAACATATGTCGATTATATTATCCAGAAGAGCGTACACAATCTCTCTCTCTCTCTCTCTCTCTCTCTCTCTCTCTCTCTCTCTCTCTCTCAGCTCTTCTTTCACCCTTTCCACTTCACGTTCTCTCTCTCTCTCTCTCTCTCTCTCTCTCTCT